CCAGAAGCAGCCACTGCCCCAGGGCTATGCTGGGACCAAGCTTCTTTCTCACCACGGTCACAGACTTTTCCTACTGACCTTCTAAGTTGTCTTTGGTATTTGTGGGTTGAGAAATCTGGAAACCACCACAGCTGCCTGTGATTCAGTCCTCTGAGGCCTGCTCTAGGTTTGCTGAGGTCTGGTCTCTGCCTGTGTACCCACACTGAACTGTGTTCCTCTCCCAGCCCAGAGCAACAGACCTTTCTAATCAACCATCTGGGTTGTCTTGGGCTGGGAATTTGTTTCACTCTGTCTTTTTGTGGATACTGCGACTCTAAAGTTTTAGAGCCATTTTTTGCAGGTATTTGGAGGGCTTTGGGGGAGAGCTCAAGCAAGTCATTGCTTTCACTCTGCTATCTTGGCTCGTATTCAACATATCTAAAATCATACTTCTCTTTCCCCCAACATTCACCCCTCTTCTTAACTTCCCCATATCTGTTGAGAGCACTGTCTGGCATGGCTCCCAGGTTCAAAACCTATCACTTAACTCTTCACTCTCCCCAACAACCTATTAATCAATGTCTCGTCAATTCTACCTCCACATATCTTGCCTTTGTCCCTCTCTGTACTCACACCATCATTAGCTTAGTTTTGGTCCTATCACCTTACCCAGACTATGGCAATTGTCTCCTAATTAGATTACCTGTTTCAATCTCTCTTGTTCTCTCCTTCCTTCATGCAGCAGCCAAATTGATATTCTCAGTGCTCAGGTCTGACCATGTTCTCTTACGAAACTTTGGTGTTTATTTCCTTAGGATAAATACTAACTCATTTGGCAATTCAATTCAATTTATATTGCCAGTCTGATTTCCTATTACTTCCTAATGTGCACTTTACATTCCAACCAAACTGGCCTACATGCCGTCCCCTGTAGAAGACATTTCATTTTCTGCTTTTGTGCCTTTGCATAAGCCATCCTCCATGCCTAGAATGCTTGTCCTCCTCACCTCTGTCCCTTAAGAGTCCTACTTTCTTCCAAAGAAAGAAAAACACTTCAGATATATGTGTGTGTTGCAGCCACCAATGGAATGTAAGATCCTTAAGAACAGGGACAATTTGTTTCTTTGAATCCCCAGTGCCTTGAAAATTATTTTTTGGCCTAGACCTCCAATTTCTCCGGTACAGGGAACTCCCAGTGAGCAAACTCCCTGTACCAATGCAGATTAGCATGTTTTCTAACTGAGAGAGGTAGCCAGATACTTAATAAATTTACTCACTGAAGTGTACCAAATTGAAAGTGAAAAATAAGGTCAGGAAATGGCATGGTTAGGAAATAGGGAATCTATTTTTTCTGTGTACAAGAACAGAAAGGAATAGATATGAGAAACATGGAATTAAACTTGACAAAGCTGAGCAATTGGCTACATGAGAGAGACGGAGATGACTTTTGAGGTTACAAGTTTCTTACCAGGAAATCAGCAATTCCTTCAAGAGAAAGATGGAAATTTGAAGGTGCTGGTTGTGGAGGGAAGGGGGTAGAAGCAGTGAAGATAATCATATCTTCTGGACATTTTAAGTTTGCAGGGTCAACTGGACAGTCAGGAGATGTGTGGCAGTAAGTGGGGAAATGTACCACCAGCATTCAGGAACTGACGAAACCGACAAGGGAGAGTACAGGGAGTGGGGTCTAGGATACTATGTTACAAAGGCAGGAGGTGATGATGATTCAGCTAGGGCTAAGAGGGAAGTTATACAGGAAAATCAGAAGAGATGACCGCAGAGGCCAATGGAGGGATTATTATCCAGAAGAGGAATATCAACAATTAATTAAAAGTGACAGAAAGATCAGACTAGAATAGAGAAAAGTTAATTCAATTTAGCCATTTAAATGACTGCCAGCCTTTGAGGAAACCATTTCACAGCAGACTGGGGTCAGAAGCAGAGTACAGTGAGGTCAAGGAGTGAGTGGAACAGTAAGGAAGCTGTTGGACATTTTAAGTTTAGAAGGTTTTTTGGTTTGTTTTTTTTCCCTCCTGGAATGTATAGCAGTGAAAAGGTCCGGGCCTGGGGTTCTACTCTACTGGCTCATTCTTGTTTTAATGAAAGCACAAACCACTCTGGCAGCCAGTGACCTCATGGTGCTTGTAACAGGAGACCCACACCATTAGCCTACCTCCTAAGGTGTATGTGATACTCTCCAAGATTCTCAACTCAGCAGCAGCAAGATGCTCAATTAGAAACAGGGGTGGTGACAGTTTACAGAGGACACAAAACACAGACAACATGGCAGATGGTAGGGAAATCCCTACTCCCAGAAACACTTTATTGAGACCTTATTGCTTATGCAGTTAAGTAGACACTGACGGAGCTATAGAAAAATCCCACATGCCCTAGTCTAAGTTACTCCTGGAAAGGAGTCTCCCTCTTTACTAGGAAGTTAAGGGTATATGCCAGGAAAGGTGGCCAGATTGAAGATCTAAGAACAAGATACTTCCAGGCAGGAGCAGGGTCCAGGAGTGTAAAGCAACAGAGCTGATGAGAGCCCTCCAGACTTCAGCAAAAACGTAGGGGCCATAAGAGAGGGCAAGTAGCATTCCTTGTGAACCTGAGAGGCTCATCCCTGGTTTGATTAAGGAGACTCGGTCCTGACTGTGGAAGAGCAACAGCATAGAGGGGAGCAGTTGAGTTTTTCCCAGTAAATGCCACAGCTCAGTGGAGGCAGTTGGGGGGGGGGGAGGAGAAGAGACACACATGAATGGTAAAACTGCCAGACAACATGGACCCTGGCACTGGCAGAAACCTTCCAGAAAGGTTGGGATGGGACACAGAAGGAGGTCAAAGTTGCCTTACAACATTCTGACTTTCTAGTGCACTGATGTAAGGTCTGAGAGAATAAAGGGGAAACAAAACAAGCCAGTTACTAGGCTAGACAGAGATCTAGGCTGAAGTTTAAATTTCCACAGCAGGAGGGATGTAGTAAGGAGATCGGGACATCAGGACTGACACAGAAGGAAAGCAGCTAGGCCTCAGACCTTCCACACAGCAGCTGATAGAGGCAGCATCCCTAACTGATTTCCCTCTGCTCTACACTATGATGGGAACAGAAAGGAATTATCAGAATCTGGGGGACAAACGAGCTGTTCTGGTGTTTCCTTGGCAAAAACTCAATTTTGCTTCAGGCCTCCATGGGCTCCCCTCATCTCCTACCAGGGGCTTCCCCAGGCCTCACTGCAGCTCTCTCCTCTCACAGGCACTTCTATTAGGGATTCTGGTGGAGAACAGAAAGCCACATGGGAAGGAAGAAGTGCAGTCATGTAGAGGGCAGCAGATAGGCTAGAAAGAGGCTAAGAGCAGAGGACAGTACATACTGGAACCACCCCTAAGGATAACCTCCCACATCCCCCATCCCGATGGGCCTTCCAACTCCATCAAGGAAGGAGAGAAGCACCTTCTTCAAGAGGTAAGTCCTTGGTCACTGGAAAGGACAACGTTGACTGCAATATCGAGCCTACATTAATAGCACTGGAGGGCAAAATAGTTCCAGAGGGTGAACTTTCTGGCTCTACCAGCCTCCATAGTAGAGATGTACAGCCAGACCAATAAGCAGGAGGGCCAGGAAGAAGGCAGCCGTGAGCTGAAGGTGAAGCAGGGCGGCTGAGAGCACAGCATTGACAATCAGTGAGGAGGAGACAACAAAGAGACGGGTGATGCTACTCCCATGCTTCATGATGGCCGACATGAGCAGTCCATTGAGGGCCTGGCTCAGTACCACCAGCCCTGCCCAGGCTGAGAAACCTTCTAGGAGCCCAGGGCCTGGCCCACCTCCCACGTAGAGCCCCAAGTTCATAAGTACCCCAAAGGAGTACAAGAATAAGTTCTGCAAGGCCAAGGGCAGGTGCTGCCTCTTCATGAGCAGCTCGGTGTAGACTGAGGAGAGGCCCGAGATGAGGCAATAGAGCAAGAGCAGCAGCAGACCCAGCGGGGTCACGTGGAGAGGCATGGCTGCGGCTGGAGGGGGTGGGAGGAGGCCCTGTGGGTCCTGGAGGCCTGCAGCAGCATAGCAGGCTCCAGCACCAGTCAGTAGCAGCAATGCCAGCGCCTGCCTGGCAGAGAGGCGGCGGTTCAGGCAGAGGCAGTAAAGAAGGGCTGTGCTGCCAATCTTGAGGTTGCTCATCACTTGGTAGGTGCTGGGGTCCATGTACCGTTGCAGGTGAATGACAAGGTTGTTGTTGGCACCATAGAGCAGGGCAGAGAGTGCAAAAGGGGCAGCCTGACGCCAAGGTGGAGTGTCCCATAGTCTTGGCTGCCGCCTGGCCATCAAAGAGCATGCTGATAGCAGTAATTTGGTCAGTTCTGTCCAAAGCACAGCTGAAGAGGGGCGGAAGGGGACACGGCCATCTATTCGACACAAGGCCAACAGTGGGGCATGGGCACCATACATGGTTGTGGACAGGAGGAGCATAAGCACCCATCGGGCCTGGCTTGGGCGCCCTATGCCCGGTATGCCCCCTTCTTCCACGTTCATCCCCACTCTACCAACCTAGGCCTTTAGGTAGGTAAGTAATGGTGAGAGTAAGAATGGGGAGGAAAGTCTATAGTCCATCTGGTAAAACTGAGTGATGGAGCCAGCTCCTAGGAAAGGGAATTCAGGATACATTATCAAACTGACAAAGAACTAGGCAGGCCATACATAGGTTAGAGTCAGAAGTGGATGAAGCAGGGACATGTGCATGAGTGCGCACATGCACACACACCACACACACACACACATACACACGCGCACGCTACAGTCTGGAAGCACAGATGCTAGAGGGAAGAAAGAAGGATATGGGTGTAGGACAAAGAGAAAACATCTGCGGTCTCCAGCAGCTGAGAAAACTAAAAGCCTGGGGAGGAGATCAAGCAAGATAGATGGCCTCTACCTTTGATGACCCTATACAGTCAGACTTGCTGCTCATCCATGCTGACCCAGATTCCAAGGCTCTTCCTCAGAGGGCTCAGGCCCCTCCGAGGAGGGCCTGGAGGGAGGACTGCTGAGGGTGTACTAGTCAGGTCCCTTACGAAGGGCTCGGAGATAATCCTGCAAGGTCTTCTCGACGTTGGGGACTGCATAGGACTGTGCAGCATACACACCGGTGCATACACCAACTGCAAAGCCCATCACCGCAGATGCTCTCAATTTGGCTACAACATAGCCGGCCAGGAAGCCCTTGAGAAAAGGAGATGACAGGAACGAGCCTTCCTGCAAGAAAGCCAGAGACAGGCAGTATGGAAAACACAGGAGTAACAATCAAATTGGGACACATGCCTTAGCAACGAGGCTAAAACTCCCTGTCTCCGTCTCCTGCCAGGAGCTTTATAAGCAGAGCTCAGTCCCAAGCTACCCCTGAGCTCCACGTGAATAAAGTGAAGCACATAGAGACATTTTCTCAAGTCTGTTTGGCCAGAAGACCCAGGAAGAATCCTAGCCCACCTCCACCAGTACTAACCATTTAAGCCTCTGCCATTTAGTAATTTAGCCTCCCATGCCACAGTGCCCTTTGTGTGGCTTACAGGGCTCCCATCGACACTCTACTACAAAACTGCAGGCAGACATCATTAGTATATAGGATGTGGACAACAGAGGGAGGAAGAAAGTGATCCAGAGAAGTACCAAACATCAGGGTTCAGGTGGGGAGTATGTGTTTGTATTTGTGCCTTCATGACAACTTTATCAATTACCTGTTCCACACCTGTCTTGACTTCCTCCTCTAGTCGCCGCTGAAGATGTTCCAACTGATTCTTTAGGAAAGCCAGGTCTTTCACCTTTGGCATCGAGTCCTAGGACAGGAGAGAAGCTTTCTACAAGACAGTCTGAGTCTTCTGTACCCTGTCCCCTTCACCTCTCTTCAATGGCTATCAAGGCTCAAGGGGAAACAGGGAGAACCAAAGAATAGTAAATCATGATTTTCCCAGCATACTCCATTTGTTTCCCAAGGCAAGGAGTATTTCCACTTTCGGGGTCCTTCTCTCACCATCCTCACCTTGGCATAGCACTGGCAGCTTCAAAACATTATTGCACGGAAAAAGTTATGTTCCAAAGGCAGGAGCCTCAAACCTTTATCCCCAAGGGATTCCCTTTTGAAATGATGAGATTACACTTTCCACACAAATTCATCAGATTTAAGCCTTTTCATAGATAGATGGATAAATGGATTTAGTATTTAGATAAAACAGAATTCTTTCTTGCCCAAACTCCTCAGCTCTAAATTTGAAATTTAAAAAATTTCTCCCCAGAACTGAGAAAGAACATTGTTATTGGGTACTGCCTTCAGGAGAGTGATACTTAGGAGCATGGGGAATTTTGAATTCCTTGGAACAGTAGGCTTTGAATCAGATGGAAGGTGTTGGATGGCTCTATCCCTGGTCTGGGTAAATCTGTTTCCCAGAATACTTTAAACTGAGCTTGAAACAGAGCAAGACATGAGGGGAAGCTGAGCTGGCTCCCTTGGAAGTCTAAAACCTTCTAACACAACCAAAAGGGAAATAACGGCCTGCTTCAGGAGATCGGGGGTATACCTGCCCCCCCCAATTACTACACATCCTCAGTCGGAGGTTGGGGATGTCTACCTGTCAGGGATGTTGTAAAAGGGATTCCTGCTCAAGAATGGGATGAACTAAATGGCCCTTTCAACTCTGAGAGTCTTTGAAAGTTTTCCTACGGTTAATGGAACATGCTTCCTTCTCCTTGCCCCCTCCCCCATGCCATTTGTTTAAAACACCGTAAGCCATGATGTTGACAAGAGGGTCTGGGAAGAGAAACACTTGTTTCCTATTTCGCAGTAAAATTCCCTCAACAACTCACTACCCTCTCATGCAGAAGTTTTAACCTAGGCCAAAGAACAGGGCTTCTGAGAGCTGGAATAGGGACAGAAATTATTGTCATGCAGGAGAACACTGGCTGAGGTATCCGCCAGACCTTCCCTGCCCTTTCCCTTCCCCATTTCTTTGCCTTCTAAGAAAATGGATGGAGGTCGGAGAGGCGGGGCTGACTCGCTGCACCTGACTAGCCATTTCTTCCCACTCAAATCCTCCTGCAGAGAGAGAATGCCTGGAGAGGAAGTGGTCTTGGGGGTTAGTCAGTCCTGCCTCTCACTTTACAGACTAGGAAACTGAGGCCCAGAGAGGGGAAGCAATTCCCCCAAGGCCATACAGCAAACTTAATGTCAGCGCTAGAATCTGAATGCAGGTGTCCTGGACTCCTAGCTTGCAGCTCTTTCCGTGGGGATGGCGTTTGCAAAGTTGAGACAATGGGTTCGAGACCCCGAACGGTCTCTCTGGGGGGCGCGGGGGAGAGAGAAGAATACCCCTGCTCCCCTTGGCCCCACGCTTGCATGGACACTCACCTTGTCATCCGCCATTTTCCCCCGGCGCGCTCAGTGCGCAGCCGCGGCCCCGCCCCCGCGTACCGCGACTTCCGGGAACGCCCCGTGAGGCGAGACCGGTTGGTGTCCGTCTTATGTCGAACCACGAGATTGGGCATCTTTGTGCCAGTGTGCAAGCGGGCGTGGTTGGGCGGGTGTGAGTGTGAGCTGGGCCCGCGAGGACTGTGTGCGTACGTCTAGGTCGTGGGGCCGAGCCGGGCACCCGTGGGGCTCCGTATGGGTGTGTGGGCCACGCTCCACGGCCGGGCACTCGCTGTGGTCGTGACGATGAGCTCATAGCGGCCCAAAGGAAGGGGTCGGACGTCCTGCTGGGTGCACGTGCACAGGCACGCACGCACGTGCCCGCGCAGTCAGCGGAGGGACCCCGCCCCCCACCACGCCTGCGCACGTGCGTGCTTGCGGACGCCGCACTCCCGCGACTCTGAGCTCAGCGCGACCCGGCCCCGGTCCCGACTCCGCCCTGTGTTTGTGCTGCTCTGGCCCCGCTCACTGGCGCAGAGGGGCCGGGCTTGTAGGAGACGCATCCTTGAGGTCCGGCTGGGAGGACGGGCTGGGGCTGGGGCCATGCTGGGCAAGGACTACATGTTAGCTATCATCTTGGTCAACTGCGACGGTGCGTGGGGGTCCGGGGTGCGGTGGGCGCCGGGATATCCGGGGAGAGGAGGAGACTAGGGAGCCAGGGATGGTGGGGAGGAGAGGGTGGCAGAGATGTGACTGAATAGACCGCGGCGGATGGACCCGGGCGGGACCCAGCAGGACCAGATGCCCGTAAAGAGGGACCGGGGCTTGGGAAGGGTTTGGGTCGGGAGGCGCTGGGATGTTGCATCCTTGAACTATAGAGGGAGCAACTGAAGCAGACCAGAGACACTGATTCCAGATGCAGCTGTTGAGCCCTGGGTATGTCTGGTCTGCACTTCAAACTCTGCCTAGCCTCACACCCGTCGTGGTTGGCCCTTCCCATCCCAGACATATGCACAACCCAGGGAAAGGAGCTTGATCTGTATAGCTCAGAGATACTTAATCTTCTTTTTTGTGTCATGGACCCATTTGGCAGTCTGGTGAAGCCTATGGACCTCTTCTCAGAATAATGTTTTTTAATACATAAAGTAAAATACATAGTATTATAAAGGAAGCCAGTTGCATTTAAATGAAGTTATAAAATTAAGAAAAATATTCACAGACCCCAGGTCAAGAACCCTTGGAAAGGAGTCCCTATTTTGCTTGCTTATTAGCCATGTGACTGTGCAAGTCACTTTAGTTCTTTAAGCCTCATTTTCCTGATCTGCAAAATTGGAGAATTGGATGAGATGATCACCAACACCTTTTCTTGACTGTATGGGCTAGGGCTACATTTAAGTCTGAATACTCTAGAGTGCATACTCTTGACCATGGTGCTCTTACAGATGACTTGTGGGGTGACCAGAGCCTAGAGGGAGAGTCAGGGTTGCCTCCTGGGTGGCGGAAGATCCATGATGCTGCTGGCACCTATTACTGGCATGTACCCAGTGGCAGTACTCAATGGCAGCGCCCGGTCTGGGAACCTGGGGATTCCGTGCCACCTGACTCGGTATGTAGGAGTTGGGGAAAGGATGATAATGTCTGTTGGGGCTGGAGAGGATAGTAATCCTCCTATTAGGGTCCCTGATCTACTCATTTGACTTCAAGTTGACCTCCCTCTCCATAGGGCACAGAAGGGGGTTGGGGATTACGACCCCCCAAAGGGAGATCCTACTCTAGCCTGGAAAATTCACTGGACCGAAGGTAATCAGGATAGGGATGTGGATCTCAGCGTCTGCTGAACTCCCTACTAGGAGGCAGGGGGAGGAGAGGGCAGTTGGATAATCTGACTTGTGGCTAAATAACCAAAGTCAGTCATCTGGCTCATTGGCTGCCGTGTTAGAATTACGTCTCCTCTTCTGCACACTTTGGGTTCTGATTAAATTGGTGTTCTTCCCTATGGGGAGCCTCCTCTCACCAGCCCTGCTCTATTTCAGGACTTCTCTACCCTGGTGTGGGGAAGAAGCCTACATCCGAAACATGGAACCAGGCTCCAAGGTAGAGGGTGGTGCCTGCTTTTGAGCAACAAGGATCCCCTGGGAATGTGGAGACAGGCATTAGTGAGCTCTTAGAATTGGAACCTGGACCAGAGAGATCTCTGGGTGTGGGGTGGTAGGGAAGGGTCATGGGAGAGCCTTCATTAGGTACAAAGGAGATCATGGCCTGTATTTCCAGAGCCGAGTGGGCATCCTGTGCTGTACTTTGGTTGCCTCCTTTCATAGGGGGTGATGGGCTTACTTGGTAGGATGATGCTAATACCTGCTGTGTGCCCATGGGCAAAACATGTAACTTTTCTGAAACTTAGTTTTGTCACCTGTAAAACAGAGGATTCTACTATCTTCCTTACGGTGTCATGTGGCAAGCACATTGTAAAACATCTAATTAAGCCCTGTATAAGTGTAAGTTATTTCTGTGATGACTACAGGAACCCATTTGTAGAGGAGAAGCTTGGCTTCTCATTCCTGCAACTCCCAAATCCCCTCTTCCCCAATTAAACCTTTCCCACCTGGCCCTACTGTTTATCAGTGCTTTGCAGTACGATCTCTGGGCTGGGTGGAGGTGCCTGAGGAGGACTTGGCACCTGGAAAGAGCAGCATTGCTGTCAATAACTGCATTCAGCAGCTGGCACAGAGCCGGGGTCAAAGCCGTCCACCTGCTAGGGCCTGGGGTGAGGTGAGTGTACACATTGGCTGCTTGAACTCTTGTTCCCCTTTCTCAATTCCCCGTTCTGTGGCTTGGGTTAGAAGGACTCAGAGGCTGGATAGAAGTGGCCAGTATCCCTGGTTAGGGACCTTCAAGCTTAGAGGCAGCAAAACACACTAGGTTTTTTGAAGTCATTTGAAAAGGTTCAGATCCCTATTACTAATTGTGTGTTACCTTGGACAAATGTTGCTTCCCTACTCTGTTAGACTAGATCTCATCTAAATCCCTTTCAATTTTAAGTACTGTGATCCTAGGGTCAAAGAGAGCTTGCTCTGATCTTTTTTTCTTTCTTCTTCCCTGAGCCTCTGGATCTGGCCCTTTAGATTCACTTCCTTGTCCCATTTTCCAAGAAGCCATCCTCAACCTCAGTATCCCCTTGGAGGCCTCCAAAGTCATTCGTTACTCACAGGAACCCTCTTTTTGTCTGTCCCCAACTCCCCTGGGGACTCTGCAGGGTCAGAACATGTTGATGATTCTGAAGAAAGACACAATGAGTCTGGTGAATCCCTTGGACCACAGCCTAATCCATTGTCAGCCCCTCGTGCACATTCGAGTCTGGGGTGTGGGCAGCACCAATGGGCGGTGAGAAATTCCTGGACAACTGATTTTCCTGAAGACTCATAGCCCCTCTCCCTCAGGAGTGATTTCTCTGACACTGACCATCATGGACTCTGATTCCCTGACCTTGCCAAGCTGAACCTTGATTCTAGACCCCTTCCAGACCCTAGCCCCCTGACCTTGCCATGCTGGACCTCAGTCCCAGGCCTCTCCCAGACTTGACCCTCCTAGATGCGGACACCCCTTTGTTCTGGCATGGACCTGGTGGGGGAGGGCAAATTGAACTACTTCCTGCCTCTGAAAGTATTGGGAAGGATGGGGATGAAGCAGGAAAGGGCTGGGCTGACTGTCCACTATGTTCTTCACATGCTTCTGGATCAGGGACAGGTGAGTGGCAGGGCCGAGTGCCCCATCTGTTCTCCCTCACTTCCTTCCATTCCCTTTCACTCTGAAGACCTCTGTTCTCTTTTCCTAGATATCCTCTCCTGTCTTTCCCCTCCTTCCTGTGTCTTTCCCTTTCACACCTATCACTCAGCTTCCCAACCCCATCCCTACTCCCTCACAGGGACTTCGCCTTTGTGGCGGGTGACAAGGACACCTGCATGTTGAAATGCCACGTGTTTCGTTGTGATGTCCCAGCCAAGGCCATTGCCAGTGCCCTGCATGGGCTATGTGCCCAGGTGAGGGGCCCTGAAGGGGATATGGTAGGAGGGGACTGCAGGGGAATGGAGACAACATGAATCCCAAGAGTTCCCCTTGCCTGATCTCTCACCCCCGACCCCAGAGTGTTTATGTTGCAGATTCTGTCAGAGAGAGCAGGGGTAAGTGGTGACCCTCCTCGATGTTCCTTGGACCCCATCTCCCCTGAGGATCTACCCAGGCAAGGTACAGCCGGAGGATGGGATAAAGAGTAGGGACCACAGGGACAAGGCTGTGAAAATAGTTTTAGTGGGGTTGGATGGGTAGCTTGGGGGAAAGTTATAGTGGGAGGGAAAGTATCCCCAGGAGTTTTGCCCCTACTTTGTGACCATCTTCTTCTGCTCCTGTTTCACAATGAGGGGCCCTAGAAGTGGCAGGCCCTACCTACCTGGGCCTAGACTTGAGAGTTGGGAGTAGGGAGGTCTTCCTCTCTGATGCTGCACTTGCACTGGATACTCTGAGGAGGAATGCTCACTTTGAGGGGGCCACAGTGATTTTATCTACCCCTCAGTGGAGCTTCTTGATGCGGTGAGCCAGGCTGCCCAGCAGTATGAGGCTCTCTACGTTGGGACCCTTCCAGTTAGCAAGGCTATGGGTGAGGAACTACTGGGGCAGGGGGAAAATATAAGGCACAGCTGGGTGGAGGAGAATGGAGTGGATATGGGACTGGAAATAAGATGTGAGATTCTGAAGTGTCTGTATCTTGAAGTGTTTATTGTCTCCATGTAAGGTCTAACCATATACAGCCTTAGGGCCTGACCCTCCCCAGGCCCACGATTTATATTTACTTGGTCACCCGACTCACTTTTTCTCTGGGCCCAAAGTGAGCCAGAGGGCCCTCACCCATTTTGTCTTAAAAGTCTCCCTGAGGTCCACCCCCCAGACTTCCATCCCTCTGGACCAGGATAGAAGCTGCAATGAATATGTGTGTCCCCCCCCCCCCAGGGATGGATGTGCTGAATGAAGCCATTGGGGCCTTGACTTCCCAGGGGGACCATCATTCCTGGACCCCAACCATCCTCAGTGTCTCTGACTCACTCATGACTG